CTATTGCCGTGTAAGGTAACATAATCACTGGTTCCAGGGATTAGGGTCTGGGCATCTTTGGGGAGGGCCATTATTGCATCTGCCACAGGGGCTGGCTTAATCTCGGGGTGGTGAGTTATGCATTCCCCAAGGAGCTGATCCTTCACCCAGGCTTGCAGGCCGACAGGATACAGGCAGGTGTAGGAGCAGGGGAAGAGCGTTTTCACACGATAGTGGGAAGAGTGTTCACATGATGGTGGGAAGGAGCTCGAGGTGACTGAGGAATAGAAGGGCCATTGGCACAGGCACAGTGAACGGGAGGATGAGTGACAGGAGATGAGGTTGGAGACAGCAGATTTGTATTTAAAAAGAGCACTTTAGCTGCAGTATTGATAGTTGGGTTAGAGGTGGGTAGGGTCGATGTCAGGCATGACCCCGAGGTTTCTTGAATGTGCCACAGGAGACGGGCGTTGTCATTTACCAATCAGGGAAACACCACACTAGTGAAAACTCTAATTTTGGTGAGATTGCTTTTGAGGGCCTGTATACCAAGCAAGTGGAATACCAGTGTTCATGCAGTCTGTAGCTCACAAGTGAGGTTCTGTAATGCAGATAAAAGAGTTGGAAGTGGTTGCCTTGTAGCTGCTGATTGCCCCGACCCAGGAGAGGGAGGCGTGGGGAGGGGGAGGTGGGCCTTGGACAGATCCTGGAAAAAGCCAGCCATCTAAAAGCACCCCCTGGAGTTTGCCATGTTTGGAGCTCATCAAGGATGAAGTGGGGAGAGTCCAGAAGGGTTTTTTTTTCAAGGAGAGGTTTGGAGGTGAGGAAGAAGAGACAAGTCTTATGGAATGCTGAGCACTGTCTAGTACACTTTTATATCTGGTTCTATAGTGGTCTGCAACTTTCACTGTCTTTGAGCATTTTTTTTTTTTTTTTTTTTGTGGCTGGCTGGTACAGGGATCGAACCCTGGATCTTGGTGTTATCAGCACCATGCTCTAACCAACTGAGCTAACTGGCCAGCCCCGAAGACAAGTCTTAAAGAAGATTTTATTATGAAAAACCTCAAACATACTGTGTTAATTTCCTATTGCTGCTGTAACCAATTACCATTACCTTGGTGGCTTAAATAATACTCGTTTATTACCACACAGTTCTGGAGGTCTAAAGTGAGACTCACTGGGATGAAATCAAGGTGGTGCAGGGCCACGTCCTGAGGCTCTCATGGAGGCTCCATTTCCTTGCTGTTTCTGGTATCTGGAGGCTGCCTGCTTAGGCTCTGGCTCCTTCCTCTGTCTTCAAAGCCAGCAATGGCGAGTCGAGTCCCTCACACATGGCATCACTCTGATCTGTTCTTCTTCTCTCTCCCACTTTGAAGGATGCTTGTGATTACTTTGGACTCACCTGGATAATCCAGGACAATCTCCCTATTTTAAGGTCAGCTGATTAACAAATTCATTCCATCTACAGCCTAAGTTACCCTTTGCTGTGTAAGGTAGTGTATTCATTAGTTCTGGGGGTCAGGACAAGGACATCTTTGGGGGACTATTATTCTGCCTACACACGTATATGTAAAAGTATAAACAGGATAGTACATGTTTCCCCACACACCCATCACTCAGCTTCAACCACACACCTTCATCCCACTCCCCACCCCCCACTGGATTATTTGAAACAAATCTTAGAAATCATCCTGTCCATCTGTGCATGTTTCAGAATAGACGGTTGTTTAAAGAAGTTCAGCTCTGAAGGGAAGTGAGAAAGAGGTAACTGGGGGAGATGTATGGGGAAGAGAGAGAGAGAGAGAGAGTGTGTGTGTGTGTGTGTGTTTGATATGGGAGATGCTGAAGCATGTTTAAATTCTGATGGCAAGGATCTGTTAGAAGGGGAGGGATTGGCCTTGGACAAGAGAGACATCTCCATCGTTAACAAGAGAGGGGTACTTAGGCTTGTGCGTAGGAAGTTAAGGAGTTCCTGTCTCCTGGTTAAATTCTTTTTTTCCTGTTCAGTGGGAGGGATAAAGAGGATGTTGAAGTTTTGGGAACCTTGGGGAAAGTTGAAAATAGTCATTGTGGAGCGGAGAATGAATTTGCTAGAGGAATGTTGGAATGTGGGATGTGTTGAGGGTCACTTGAATTTGGTGAATTCTAGAAAATCTCAGCTTGGTTGTTTGACTTTTTTTCCCAGTAGCATTGCACATTTGTCTGGGTGTATGTTCAGAGAAGGTGTATAATTCGGTTCATCCTAGGTTGGTTTTTTTGCCAGATGGTATGGCCAAAGGAGAGGGTAAAGAGTATCTAGAAGAGCAATTGAAATCACAATCCATGCTCTCAGGAAGTAAAGGAGTGACCATTCTAATGGGGTTTAAGAGTGGCTGTGGGGGGATGCTGACAGAGGCCAGCAGGCAGAGCTGAGCTTGTGGGGGCTGTGGGTGGCTGGAGCTGAGGATTTCAGGGTGGCACCAGGTCCAGGGTATGAATTTGGGAGTGGGTAGCTAAAGTGGAGCAGAATAAAAATCAGTCGGAAAATAGGATGTGGAGGTGCTGAAAGAACAGGGTTTGGGGTGGCTCATCCACAGGGATGTCGAAACCATCTAGGGAGATGGGAATGGTTGAGCTGTATAGGTAGGTCTTCCATGGATGAGGGGGTCAGCCAAGATGAGGAGAAAGGAAGGGGTTTGTACCATGGTAAGAGGAATGGGCTTCGGAAAGGTGCATGTGTAATGGTCTGGAAGCAGCACCAAGGATCACTTCTCCTCCTGACCCTTCCCAACCCTCATGTGTGTTGTGCAAGAGAATAAGCAAGCTCCACCTGAAGGGTGGCCAGGAAGCACTGGCTCAGGGAAGAGCCGGGTCTCAGTGAAGACCCGACTCACTTTCTTCTTTCGCTGTGCTGCGTGGGACTCCCACACACTGCCTGAGTGGTCCCTGCCTCCTGAGGATTTCTCTTGAACACTGCCCCCTGGGTCACTGCCTTTAGTGTGAGTCATCCCCTTGCTCCCCCATTCCCAAGTAGGAAAATATTATGATAGGTAGAAAAAAAGCAGACTCGGCTAATAATTTCCAAATAGCAAAAATCATGGATTAACTTGAATATATTGCTACCTTATAAAGAAAGATTTAATAAGATCTATCTTCATGTGTTATACTTTTACATCTTGACATTCCTCCTGGGCTCTAAGCCATATTTCTAATTTTGTTTGAGAAATGGCTATGGGTGTATTTAATATGCATTACATACATTGATTTATGATTGAGATATGTAACTTTACTGAAGATTTTTAGTGATTTTTGTCTATACCATAAAATCCTGACATAATTTGATGTGTTATTTCAAAAATTTAATCTTGTATGTGGGGTCACATTATTGTGAAATGCAGTGACCACCCCTCCCACCACCCCCTTACACACTCTACATATATTTCAATATATTGAAACCATGATACACACAAATAACCATTGAACAAAGTCTCAGATTGATGGAACAGTATAAAGGACCAGTGGAAACAGGAAGTTATGTTAAGGGGATACAGTTTGACATTTCTGCTGTAGTTCTGTTTTGCTTAGAGTTGGGTTATTTTGCATTTAATGTTTGCATGATGATAAGTGACCATTTTGACTGGTTCTCAGCCTTTTTTGGCCATTTCTTCCTTTGAGAGGAGAGTCAAGAATAAGTAGCAGTAGCAGATTTTTTTTTTTTTTTGTAAAACATAAGTCTTTTTCTTTGTAAAATACCTACTTTTCAAGTCTTTGACTTTCTGTGAGCTGTGAATCTTGTATGACAGTCTGAGAATGTGAGAAGGCTATAGAATGATGACAGAACTGTGGTAGAAGTGGAGCCTGATTCTGCCCGCTTCTCAATCTGTTTACCTTATTGGACTGAACTTTGTTACTTTTCCTAATTCCCGCAGACTCATCCAGGCCTTGGGGAATAATAATAATTAATTGGCCGTGACTTATCCTTAGTGGGGCTCAGTAAATGGATAGCATTTGGTTAAGAGCGTAGAGTCCCAAGTCTGACTCCTGGGTTCAAATCCTAGCTCTACTGATTACTAACTGTAGACCTTGGGCAGATTTTTTAACCCTTCTCAGTCTTAAGTTCCCTGTCTTTTAAATGGGGATAATAATAGTACTTAGTTCATAGGATTGTTGTGAAAATAAGTAGCACAGTTCCTGGCACCTGGTAAGAGTGCCCAGTAGCTGTTATTATCATCATGTTGAAATGTCACATGGCTTACCAATTTGATGCATCTGGGAATTGTTAGGTTTTAAATTGTGGTGTTTTTTTTTTTTATTACTCACAATATTCTCTGGACATTTGCCTTCTTGGTAAGACCTTCCCTGCTCAGTGGATTTAAAGGTACAGCTGTCCACTCCCTACGCTTGCATGCCTCTCCACCCCTGCTCCTTGTCTCTATTTCTGTTCCCTGTATTTTTCTCCATTGCACTATCCCCTTCTAATATACTGTCCAGTATACTTGCTTTTTGTTCCAGGCTGTCTTCATTTACTAAAATGTGGACTCCATGAGAACAGGCATCTGTGTATGTTCTGTTTACTGTTCTTTTGTTGGTACCTCAGACCTAGAGAATAGCATCTGGCTTTGTGAGTGCACAGTAAATCTTTATCAGAATGAAGAAATTGACTTTGAAAGTGGTAATAGAAGTCTATACGCCATCAAATATTATCAAAACTGCTGCAGCTGTCTGAAATAACGATTTTAAAAACATTATTCAGAAGTTGTCAGCAATTATTTGCTCATTTGCCTAACTCAAACCTCTTCCTAATAGAAGATATTGAAGCTAGGTATGAGGGTATGAATCAATCGGATGCAGAGTGGAATAGGGCTGATATTATTAAATAACCTACTAGTGTACTTCTGACACCTTTTTTTTCAGCATGAACATCAGCAAACACCTTGTCGACCAGGGGATGTGCTTGTCTCAATAGTGGACTCTCTTAAGTATCATGTTATTTTCTTGTCTATTTTATATGCAACAGATCTTTTGCTGTTTGTCTCTTTTAGGGCACCAATGCCTCTGCTCTGGAAAAAGACATTGGTCCAGAGCAGTTTCCAATCAATGAACACTACTTTGGATTGGTCAATGTAAGTATTTAATATGTATTATTTTAATCAAAATTAATATTAATATTGTTTAATTTAATTATAATTATAATTAATATTGTTAGTATTTGAAGCAACTCTGCTGCCATCTTCATCATTACCAATTTTTAAATAATTGTTCATACTCATTAGTTAGTAGAAGTGACAAATGTTGGGGAGGGAGCAATTTAATCTATTTTTGAAGGTATGAGTTGTCCCAGAAAAAGGATTTAATTACTGTATTACTGGGTCAAAATCACATTTTTCTCCCTATGCTTTAAGGGATTTCCTTTGCACACATAACTTTCATAGTGATTTTGTTGCCCTTGTACCCAAATCTGCTTTTATATGCTCTCCTTTTATTGCCTGGTTGAGCTCTTCAGGCAATCTTTGTTTCAGTTTGCATTCCGTATGCGGTTACCAGTTCATCACCAGTAACTGTTTAACAATATAACTTGATACGTAAAGCAGGCTGGGTTTTAGGGGGAAAGCCGGGACCAGTTTATCTTGGAATTACTTGGCCTTATTTTCCTTGTGTTCAGCCAGAGTCCCTTGTATATGGCTAGGCTTAGCACGCTCTGCTTCCTTGATAAGTTGATGATAACCAAGTAAGAAGGTGGTATTACCCCCACTCTCATGAGGTTTCTTCTTCACCTGATCCTTTTTCTCTGGAGTGCAAGTTTTAAGTGACATGTGTTAATTCATAAACACCTGGTTTTCTGGAACAATTCCTCTGAGCATAGTCTGTTAGTGCTCAGGTGTGGTAAGTGGTAATTTCCACTGGGGAAGCTGATTTCTCTGGAGTGCAAGTTTTAAGTGACATGTGTTAATTCATAAACACCTGGTTTTCTGGAACAATTCCTCTGAGCATAGTCTGTTAGTGCTCAGGTGTGGTAAGTGGTAATTTCCACTGGGGAAGCTGATTTCTCTGGAGTGCAAGTTTTAAGTGACATGTGTTAATTCATAAACACCTGGTTTTCTGGAACAATTCCTCTGAGCATAGTCTGTTAGTGCTCAGGTGTGGTAAGTGGTAATTTCCACTGGGGAAGCTGATTTCTCTGGAGTGCAAGTTTTAAGTGACATGTGTTAATTCATAAACACCTGGTTTTCTGGAACAATTCCTCTGAGCATAGTCTGTTAGTGCTCAGGTGTGGTAAGTGGTAATTTCCACTGGGGAAGCTGGAAGTATTCTCTGCAAGTGAGTGCTGCCTGTGATATAATGGAAAAGACACTGTTTTCAATGTAACACAGACCTAGGTTTGAATTCTGCCTATGCTCCTCACTGGCTGTGTGATCTTGGCATGTTACTTGCCCTCCCTGAGCCTTCATTTCCCTATCTGTAAAATGAGGATCATAATGGTTTCTGCTTTTTGGGTAATAGGGAAGGATAAATGAGAGTGCCTATTTAAGACCCTGACAAGAGGCTGAAGCCCACTGTGGACACTTGGTAAACGATAGTTCCTTTTCTTTCCCAGGAGTTGTCCACTGGATCAGGGCCAAGCCCTGTGAAAGGGCATCTGGGCAAAGGTGGGATACTGAGTAGAAGAGAAAAGAATGGGAGGAGGAAAGCTAAGTACCGGAATATAGGGCATTGTGTTGGTAAAATACTGACTTCTGTAATTTTAATGCAAACTTCTTAGCCGTTGTGTATAGACCTCTGCTTAGCTCTATGAGGACAGTTATTCAAGTCATGGGAATTCTGCCCTGGCTAAGGAAAACACAAATGCAGATTGTGGAGGAAAAAAGAAGGCCATTTTCTAGTTTGTGGAAAAATTGTGAGATCTCTGTTTATTAATAGCTTCATATATGTTCACTTCACATGGTAATTTATGAAAGCTCCAGCTTCTCTGTAAAAAGAGGTTTGTCTCCTGTTACGTAATTATGTCAAAGTAGATTACAGTATAAAAATAGGAAGTGTGCTATCTTAGCGTACGTGGAAGTGCCATGTTAAGTATGGCAGAGCATCTGTCTGGCTCTTGGGTGAATGACACACAAGCCAACAACCAATTGTGAGGAGGTGTTCACATCCTATTTTAATCCTTCATGGCATTTTGTAATCTGTGTTATTGATCTTGTTATTTCCTTAGAATTTTTTCATTTTACTGTGTGTATCACTCTAAAGTGATACTGTCAGCTGTGTTCTCCCACAGAGTTGGTCTTACAGTCAGTTGAAAAGCAGTGAGATGAAGATTTTTCCCCACTGGAATCATGATCACAGTATCCGTGATTTGTGAGAGGCATGAGATATTACTGTGTGGGCCCTAATCTGATTGCAGGAGACCAGGAACTTAGGTGGTATTGGATTGGGACAGTTGCCACCTTGGCAGAAATAAGATGAAGGGTAGTTAGAAGTTGAGAGGCTGGGAAACTGAGAGGGTGACTTCAGGGTGCCCCCTCTTGCCTCTGTTGTTCTGGAGTAGGTGAGGAAATGTGCTCTGAGCGGATGCGCGGGGCCACAGGAATCTGGAAAGATGAAAATGAAAATAAGCCCCCGTTCAGTGAAGGCTGTTTCAGCTAAGCAAGTGGTTTCTAGTTCCCAGATTTCTTTTCGATTTGGATGTTTATTTTCCTCGTCATGGGAGTTTTGATGTGTTGCAATGTGGCATCTTTATTTAGCCAGCTGCTTTTCTGGGTCTCCATATTATGAAAAATTTTTTTTTCTTCTCCTTTAATGAGACCCTTTGGTAGGGTCTCATTAAACTTTTTATTGAAGCAGAGTGCTTATTACCACTTTTATGGGCTAGAAAAGCACCAACGTTACGTAAATTTTTTTTCATTGATAGGTAGTTGCTGGTGTTTAGAATAGTTAGCTAGTTTTCTAATATGGCAAGCTGGCCTCCAGTATGGGGAAACTTGGTCCAGTTCATGGAGGATGGCCATCTCTCTCTCACCAGCTGTCCAGAGGTGGCTTGTCTCTGGACACTGACTCGAGCCACCCCTGTTGTCCTTTGGCAGTTTGGAAACACATGCTACTGTAACTCCGTGCTTCAGGCATTGTATTTCTGCCGGCCATTCCGGGAGAATGTGCTGGCATACAAGGCCCAGCAAAAAAAGAAGGAAAACCTGCTGACATGCCTGGCAGACCTCTTCCACAGCATTGCCACACAGAAGAAGAAGGTTGGCGTCATCCCACCAAAGAAGTTCATTTCAAGGCTGAGAAAAGAGAACGGTGAGTAGTGAGGAACGTCATGTGTTTAAGGCTCTGAAATAAGGACGATTGACGGTTCTGTGTGGCCTCAAAATGAAGAGTTGTCATCTTTAAAAAGGGGATATTTCTTCTTCTCTACCCAGTGCACATAAAATAAAACTGGATTAGAAATATGCTTAAAAATGAAGATTTATCATCCCATTTTAGAATGATCTTTTTATTTGCTCCATTTTGGGTGGGGTCATTGTAAGAAAAAAGTAATGTCCAAGCCAGTCTTCTGAGTGGGATACTCATGGAGTAAATAGATTGATATAATAATTGAACAAAGTAGTACTGTCTTAGAAACTTGTCATAAATGGTTATAGTAAATGCACATTATCTAATTAGAGCCTCTGCTGTTTTAAAAATAATACCTCTGATTTTTATTTGCAGAAGACAGTTGAAGTATATCAAATTGGTATCTTTATATGATAAAAATATCCTGATTTTTCTGGTTTTTCCATTTCTGTTTTTGGGGGAAGTGGTGGTAGAAACTAGGTGTATATTCCAGAAGCTTTGTGTTGGTAATTTTTATGACTGTAGAAATGTTTGCTATGGCGGGCCGACCCGGTGGCGCACTGGATGGTGCGCCGCTTGGGAAGCGCGGCGGCGCTCCTGTCCGAGGGTTCGGATCCCACATACAGACCGGCTCCCGCTCACTGGCTGAGCGAGGCGCGGGAGCAACACCGAGGCTTGCGATCCCGTTGCCGGTCCCCGGTCCGGTACGGGGGCAACACTGAGGGTTGCGATCCGTTGCCGGACACGGAAAAAAGACAAAAGACAAAA